AACACTTGCAACAACATCCGGCATGCGCCGACCAACACCAATTGCTGACACAGGTAGAAATAGGGTATATTTAAGAGAGAATAAGTAGAATTAATATTAGTATTAATGTTTTGGTGATTCAATAAAGGTCTTGCGACCAACAAAAAAATCTTTTTTTTTAGACTTGTACAATACAAGTCGATAACTTATATATTGTCTCATTAGTGTCATGCCTGCACCATGTAACATCAAAACGAGTTGCGAATCAGCGTCTAAGTGCAGTCATTCCCTCACGTAAACTCTACACGCGTGAGTGACGACCGCGCTTTAATAGCTCACTGCATCATTTTAATGATGATTTCAGAAAACTAAGAAACCTTAGCGCTAAGATATATTATATACTTGAGCACAAATATTAAATTGCTATAGCAATAAAGATATATAAAGGGTGATCCATTTCGAAGTTCCCTACTTTTTCAAAGAAAAAACAAAGAACTTCAAATTGAATGGGGAATGTTTATTATTATTCGAAGGAACATTCTTTGGCATTTATCTCTTAAAAAGTATCGCTTTCAATTGTTGACCCCGGTTATGTCTCAGATGGTATTTCGACTGTTAACTGGCGAATGACACGTGTTCAAAGAACATCACAGGAAAAAGTTTTACGGTGTGACACCACACAGTGGCTAATCGACCAGCCGAAAACGTGAAATTACGGTTTATGGCACGATGGTCACCATTAATGGCTACGTTCTCACCGGCATTCTTTTTAAGAAATAATACCTACAATTGTGGCGGTTATATCTGATTTTTAGCAGCGCTTGCTGAGCTCCCTGACGAACCAAAGGATCAAAGGCAGACACTAGAAGACATCATAAAATCAACTCGTTTCCATTTGAATTTGAGAAAAGGATGCTTTTCCTAACAAGCTCATCAGCTTTGCAGCTTCCGGCGATTCCGGCGATTCCGCTTTGAACGGGTACCCATACACAGTTAGCAAGCGCGAAGCTAGTATAGCCGCTCGGCTATCAGAATGAATGCACACCTTTCTAAAGGAAGTTACACTTCGGAACAGAATATCTACTGCTGCCTTAAAGGCATTCATCTCCGCTTAAAATACGCTGTTCTGATAGTCTTAAACTAGTGTTGATGGAGAGCTCCCGACTAAAGACTCCATCACCTAGTCTACCTCTTAACCATCCGTGTAAAGCTCATCAATGCCTTCGCCCCGAATAAAACCCCCTCACAGGTATTTGAGCTTAAAAGAAACCGCCAGGAGCAGGTTCTGCATTTCAGTGATGTAGATGCGGAGGAATGCAATCGAATCAATTGAAAATTTCTGACCGGGCCCTCTCATATACCCAGCTTCTCTAAGTCTTATAGCAGCATTCGCCGCCAAGCACCTACCAGGTGCAACGTCAAGAATGGCATGAGTGCCATTCATTTGTGGTGAAAGCTTCCCCCCTTCTCAATTGCTTCTGTACGATAAGTAGTACTATAAGATAGTCGATGGATAAGTACCAAGTACTTCAATATGTCCGGTTGAAGAATAGAGCCTCTTAATCAAAGTTACTCTACCCTTCTTCCGAGCATTAAGTTTGTTTGGCTGCTATATGCTAATAGTGTGTAGATATCGGCGTTTCCGACAAATGAGCAGCTTCTATGGAAGAAAACGATGCCTAAAGTTTCAGATCGACATCTAAAAACTCTAAAACTGAAGGACCGATGAACAGACAGATCGATATAGCTAAATTGGATCAGAACTTATGGCGGACGAACGGACAGACAGACATCTGGTACTCATCAATTCGTACTCCAAATGATTTTAATACACACAACTCAATAGATTGGATTCAAGTTGAGGATAGCCCTGCTATAGTTAGTTGAATTAAAAATTGTACTCCAATTCAACAACCAATTGTTGTGGATTGTTCTTTACAGTAATCATTAATTAATTAAGTTTAAGATGGCATGTTATGTGAGAAATTTGAAATTTGCAGAAACATCAATAGTTTGTATGTTTTCCTTCATTAGCTCGGCATTTCCCTATTCAGTGATGTTATTAATGAGTTTTCACCCTTTCAGCAAATAAACTCAGCACAATGCGGTCCAACATAGTGATGGCGCGGCGGCACCATGATTATCTCCTATTGCTTTTACTCCTCACGCAGGCGTTCCTAATCTGCTCGGCGCTACCCGCCGCATCCAATACGCTTGCCGCACAAAGTGGTGCTGGATTAAGCTCCACTAGCAGCAACAACAATGTTAGTGGCAACAGTGCCGTTAGCAATAGTAATATAAATAGCAATAGCAACAACAATGCCGTAGGAAATCCCAATGTGAGCATAAATAGTGGCAGCAATATTGCGAGCAACGTCACTGTTAGCGGCAACTCTATAAGCAGCAGCGGTAGCGGCGGCCTAGCCGTCGGCACGAGCGGCAACAATATCGATTTGCTTAGTGCAGCTGGCACAAGCGCGGTCGGCATCGGTGTACCTGGCGGCGGCAGTGGCAACAGCAGCAACATTAGCGTATTGCCGAGGGAGAAGTTGTACGAAAAGTGCACTGGGCCAGGTGATCCGGGTCCTTGCAAGCAATACATTTACAAATGGCGTTACGAGCCGCTCTCCAACGAGTGCACCACCTTCATTTGGGGCGGCTGTGATGGCAATCCGCAAAATCGTTTCAACACAGAGGCCGAGTGCTTGTATCATTGCATTGGAGGACCGCGTAAGTAAAAAACAAACAAAAAAAAAAATCGAAGGAAACATTTTTATTAAAAAACAACCGAATTAATTAATTTTTATTTTTTCTTCATGTTGTAGACACATTGCCTCCTTTTCTGCGTTCCACCACCAGTGAACCCAGCACCACCGAGTCAACACAGCAGTTGTCATCCAACACTGTGGGACCTGTGTATGGCGGCGGCGATGCTTCGGACTCCAGCCCTGTGCCTTTCGATCAGCGTGGCCCAGAGCTAACGTTTGCCGAAACGGGTCAGGAGAAAACATTCGTCTTTGCCAAGAATAACACATTCATCCAAATGGACGGTGACATTATACAAACATTTCAATTAAGGTAAGTTTGGCGTAGCAAAAAATGTATATGAAATTTTATAGAATATTTATTGAAAAAAATGTTGGAAGTTTTTTTTTTTTTTTTTTTTTTTTTTTTTTTTTTTTTTTTTTTTTTNTTTTTTTGTTTTGTTAGAAAAGGCATTTAACAACAATGCCAGCATAGTAAACGATTTTCGAAACTGGACCACTGTAATTTTTTTCTGAAAGTAGTGGTACTCCTCTAAAGTGCAGCCTCTTTCAAGGAGGTGAGCATTCGTTCCAAAAACAGTACCGCTGAGCTCGCTAACTGTGGGCTCAAAACTAATCAAGAGGTTCCTATCCTCACTAGAAGTATCATTAGCTACTTCATAATCAGACTTGTTCCGGTGCGACGGCGAAACAGAAGATTTCTGAACTACTTGACCTCGGCATAATTTATTTTGCCAAAATCGCACTTTCTTTTCCATTTTCCAGCTACACTGACGTTGAAACATCTCGACGGTCTTATCTTCTCCGAATAAGGAAACATATCTTGCAATTTTCAGCCGTTTCAATAAATTTTTGACCAAATCAAAACGTCTATCTTTTATTTACGAGTTTTGGGTATCATAACAGACCGGCCTTTCATCCGACCATATTCATATTTGAATAGCTCGGCCGGCAATCCATCGACTCCCGACGCTTTGTTGTTCTTCAGACAGTCAATTGCTATTCGAACTTCTTTATGGTCGGGTAATGAAACGTCTACTCCATCGTCATCTGTTGAGAAATCGGGTTCATCATCTCCTGGTCTAATGCTTTCACTACCATTCATCAGGTAGGAGTAGTCTTGCCTCTATAATTTCAGTATTCTCTGGACATCAGTCACTTGATCATCTTTGATGATTCTACTAAAGTATGCCCCGGTCTTGAAACCTTTTGTTAGTCGCGGCATTTTTGCGTAGAATTTTCGAGCATTACCCCTGTCGGCCACCTTGTCGAGCACGTACTCACGCTTTTCGGCCTCTCTCTTGGTTTGTTTGCATAGGCGTCTCGCTATCCTCTTCAACACTCGAATCTATCCCATGCCACACGTGTTATGATGAGGCAATCGACCTAACCTAACGTAAATTATTTAAGTAAAACGTTCATACATAACAGTTGAATTCAGAATGTATAAATGTATACATACGTATATCAGCAATACGAATAAGATATAAATGCAGTATCTACATATGAACATATCTATGTGCAAGGATGCGCACATGCAAATGAATCGAGCTGCAAATATTATAAATTGCTGTTGGTTCTTATGGATTTGAGGCAAGCGGCAGGCTACAGGCTACAACTTTAAATGGCAGACCAGGCTGCTTCCAAGAGCATTCATAATGAGTGATTACAGCATGAGTTCCTTGATTGCTTGCGCTGCATTGTGATGGACCTTGTGCAGCGTGTGCTTGAGAGCTTTGAAATTGGCTTCGAAACACTCGCACACAAATCTCATTCAAGTATTCCAAATACATTTTATTTACTCAAATGCAAAAACCAGCTGGCAATCAATCAGCAATCAGCTAGCGTTTGCACAACTAATCATGAATTTTAGCCTCTCCTGTGTACAACATATGTTTGCGAACTGCGAAGATTAATAAGTATTTACTCAAACCCCATAGTAAATTTCGTTCAAACAAAAAATATAAAAATTATTATATTATAGAATTATATTTATTATTCTGTTATATTATTGTCTGGTTTTATAAAGCTTGATCAGATCTGACTATTTACTAAAGTCATTCCTAAATTAACTTAGGAAGTAACATCACATTTCAGTGTCAACTTCGGTATTGAAAAAGTTTACATACCGGGTAAATCGAAAGTCGATACCGACTTTAACACTGGCTCTTTCCACATATTATATTAATATTCAAATCTACATACATATATACTATGCAGTATTGAGTTCAAGAACAAGAAAAAACTCAAATTCATTTGCTCAGAATGTAGCTATAATACCCTCTACATTACAAAAGACATCTTAAAAACTTTATTTTGATCGGTCAGTTGGTATGCCTATATCATAGTCAATCGATTTGAATGAATATTCTTCGGAGACTGCTCCGTTGCCTTGTTCAATATGTCCGTTTTCTGAAGATAATTCATCGAACGAAAAAATTTTTGTTACAAGCACTTGATTCCGATCGTTCAGTTTGTACGTTCTGACCAATACGCGGTTTCTAGGGAAGAAAATGACATTCGCAAAATGAAAAACTGTCAGTTTTGAGCAGTCTCCGAAGAATATTCATTCAGATCCTTCTTAGTCTTGTATATCCAGGCATATTAGATGGCTAAATCTAGGTGTTTAGCCACTGCTACCACAATAAGTTGATTCGCATATGCAATTAGTTTCATATAAAGGATTCTAAAACTCTCTTGATGTCTTGGTCAGTATCGAATAATAACCGCCTGTTTACAAAATACCTCATGACAATTTTCATAAAATATTGAGGACCACGTATATCATACAGAGCCTTGATTATCTTTGACCACTATGCTGGGTTGAAAACATTTTTCATATCCAGAGTGATCAACGCGCAATACTTTTTGTTCCGCCTTTCCATCACTTGCCATCACCTTAATGCGTCAATGATGGACCACTTTTTCATTAAGCCGTACTATCTTTCTGATTTCTAACTCCAAGCAGTTTCTTACTATGCTTTTGTACACTTTGCCAAATGTGTCTAACCTCCACAGAGATCGATATGATGAAAGTTCCTCTGGCGGATTTTTTGGTTTAGGAAGTAGAACCAATCGCTGCACTTTCTACGGGTTGGAGAATATCCCTTATTTTAACCACGCATTGTACATTTTTGCGTGTACTTTTGGTTGCAAAGTCAAAGCCCTTAAATCTGTGATGAATACTAGGCGCTTTATCGATACAAGAGATCCAACATTAGCTCTTTGTGAATCTCCAGATCTAGGATCATACAAAGCGTCGAAAATAGCCATTTTATCATGATTTGTTATTCGATTCTTGCGACTTCTTTATAACGCTTACAGTTTAAGAAAATAGCTTCCTGCAGCTTCTGTACCCAATGCGTACTGAATGTATAGTCCCAGTATAGTCAGCGAGATGAAATTGAGCTTTTTAACCTTATTTATATTGTTGAGTAATGTTTTATAAAGCAAATATATAAGTTATAATTTGCATCTATTTTTAGACTTTGCCGAGAGATCTCATTTCAATTTCGTACGCGTCTACCACACGGTCTACTCGTCTATCATAACGTAAAAAATCCGGATCGTATTAACTTAGACCCATATGCGCTATATGTGATTGTGGAAAAAGGGCAACTGAAGGTTGTGCACGTGTTTGGGAAACACTCGACAAGCGTTACCGTGGGCGAAGGACTCAATCGTGACGAATGGCACAGTGTGATGGTAAAATTATTATACATATATATTATATAAATCTACTATTTATATGACATCATATTTAATGTACATATTGGAGTAGCTTTCTTTAAAACTTTTCTTGCTGATAAAGTCATAAATGTGCGTGCAGATACATATTTTTTTTTTATAACTCTAATTGAACTTAGTAACCTTAGTGGGGTTTACGACCCCAAATGGGACGAAAGCTTGTCTGTACAAGTATCATCCATCCCATACTAACTTATGGTGCGTTGTGGTGAAAGGCAGTATTTAAAAAGTGCCGCATTACACCACTGGATTAGGTGTAACGGACTTGCTTGCTGAGAATTACGGTCGCAATGGAAAATGCATGGCTTTCGAGTGTATCCTCCACTTCCGTCCAATACATTTTCAAGTTAAGTATGATGCAATGCTTAAGTCATTGGAGTCGACGTCACTAGGGATATGGTATGAACTCGATCTCTACTCCCAGTAGAAAAGAATGGATCTGGAGTTCTGGATAGTTCCAACGGATTCCGAAAGGCGGATGACTACAATTCCGTCTTGCATTCCGAAATAGTTGGCAGACAAAAGTTGGACTTTTGCTCTAACCAGCAAGTCCATAAACCTTCCAGTCGACAGCATCACTTAAGGCTCTTCATAGCGCCATTACCAAGTCTAACTTTAATAGATTCTGCAAAAAAGCAATAACTTGACTCTTAGCATGTAACTCATCTGAGTATCCAGTCATAATACCGAATACCATACGAAAAGGTAGACGAGTTGTCCCGCTCATGCACAGCTGGAAGCACGATACCCCTAACTTGATCCAAACCATTCAGCTTGTTTGAGGCAATGAAACCAAGAGGGGCAACACAATTCATACCACAAAGTTACTTTAAGGTAGTGTTGATGGTAGGCAGTCCAATAACCTCCTACTTCTATAAAATAAGGAACTTAGTATTAAGTAGTATAGGGGTCATTCCTAGGCACCTACCCTTAAGATTCCATCTTCAAAAAATCAGAAAATCGGAAAAGTGGAGCCAGCGGAAAGCAGAGCAGGTGCGAAATATGATGAGAAGCTGAAACATTATCATTGTGAATATCAAGCCCTCTGCCAGATAAGACTGGACATTGATTGTTTGATTGATAAACGAGGAATGTCTATTACTTAAAGTTTATCTCTATACACCGACATATTCCAAAAACTTCTGCCTAAAAACTTTCCATAGGTATGGAGAGTTTGGTGCGTGATCCTGTGACGCCTGCAATGATTCTCTCCAACGTTTTCGAGCCAACAGTGTACCACTTAATTGTACTATTCCCAAGCAGTAGCTCGAGAGTGGAATCATTCATTTCAGCTTTTCTGCCAAGACCTTTTGGTGAAATTCACCTTTTGGTAATGCTGATCTTTGGCAGAAGGGCCAATAGTCTTACACCACTTAAATCTTTCATCCGCTGGGACCAGGTTACCTTATCTCTGCCATACCCTTCTGCTGTCATTTGTAGCAGTGTTTGTTTGGCTGCCTGACCGATTATTAGATGAAGTTGTGCTCAAGCATGACTTCAAGTGCGGCCATTAGACAAGTTCGTAATGCACGCGGTAGCACAATCGGCCTAGTGATGTCCAAAGTGGCGCCGCCTACGGTTTGACGATCCTGTGCCTCCAACCAACCAAGTAAACTTGAACTCAACATTCTGCGAAAATGAGCTTAATGCACGAAAACAATGGACTATATATATATATAGAGGTCTGCGGTTATGCTTAAATCCAGTGTCTTACAAATTCATATGTACTACAAGTAGTTCACACATATTTCTCTTATTCTCCGAGTACTCAAATCACTATCTCTCGCAAAAGCATCACAGTCCTCCGCTTGCTGCTGTCCCCCACTTATCAATCACACATTTTGGCATTGATTGTTGAAAGCGACAAAAACACTGCAGTCTCGTACGATCAACCAAATGTGTGGCAACAACATTGCTTAACGTCGAGCAAATATACATACATACATACATATTTACTCATTCCCTCATATCCAATCACATAAAGGTCGCAGAATTTATGAGTATAGCTTTCATCAAGTTCTACTCGGTGAACTCTTGAAAAATGCCGATGATAGTCATTAATAACGCTCCCGTTGAATGCATTTTCTTGTTGCATTCATTTTTGTTTATTTTTTTTTTTTTGTTTATTTTAATTTTGCTTCCAATCTTTTTATTGTTCTCTAAACCTGCTTTTGCAGTGTGCGAAGAAAATCAAATACAAATGAATGCAATTTAGGAATTTATCTATCATTGATGGGAGTTCAATCATTCACAGTTGTGAATCTAAAACAAAAGACATGTATGTGTGTGTTTGTGTGCATGTGTGCGCATTACCCACTTACGTTGATGCGGATTCTACCGCAAAATGCACTTAAGCAGGCGTCAGACATTGCAAACTGAAAGTACTTTCAATTTAAAACTGTTAAAATTTGAAAATGGATTGAAGGAATTGTGACGCTTAGTATTCCAAAATTAGTTTCAAAACAAGCAAGAAATTAATTTCGGTTGCAGCGAAATCATAACACCTTTCACATATACATAGAAGAACTGTATTTTGATCGGTCAACTTGTTTGCCAGCAATTACTTCGGAGATTGCACGATTACCTCAGACAGCAAATCATGCCGAGTGACACGATCCTTAATATTGCAGTTATTGGCATTTTAGGAGTGACTTTCGACAGTCTCTGCTCCTTCATTGCACTATCGCCAAAGTACAGAGCCACAACAAATTCCAAAAAGAGAAACGTTGTTGGCTACTTATAAGGTAATTGGCCGGCCGGTCCTTAACCACGACAGGCGAGGAGACCACAAACTTGTCAGAACACAGCACTCCAGACTACGAGAAGATGCCTCCCATAGTGGAGCTAGTCTGCTTCCAGTTAAGGGGCATAATGAATTCTTTCAGAGAAATCATCCCTCCTAGGGGTACGAAGAGGTTATTCCTCAATTATGTCAACGATATCAAACAATACGCCGACCAGTCGTCGGACGCAACTAGCTTCCAGCAAGTCCTGACTGCCATTCACCGTGGAACCATTAAAACCTTCACCGACTCCTTCTCAGTAAGTCGCATAATTGGAGTCAAAATGCCACCAATTAAAGAAGACGGTCTCGAGTTACCGCGAAAAACGAGAGTGACCTTTGTGCAGCTTCGTTCTGAATATTGTATGACCTGATGAGTCCCCACATGACACTAGCCAGCTCTTTGCATACCCTGCTAACTCTGCACATCTGACACCCTTCTCCTTTGGGTTCGGTTTGATGCCAACATCGAAAAGTACCTTCCCAAATCACTGTTTGAGTGTTTACAAAGAGAAAAGTAATTTTTAACAACCGTAAGTTTCAATTTTTACTGATTCCTAACCTCTGCATGCCGTAGCAAAAGCAGCACTTGCAAGTTGTCTACGCAGTTTCAGAAATCTGAAATGAAATAATTAATACAACCTCATTCTATTCAGGTTTAACCCTTTTTGATGCATCCTCTTAACCACAAATCAATTTCTTTCTATGTCAGTCGATTCCATTTATCTTAGAAATTTCAATTTCATATATGTATTTGCGTACCCATATGCGGCTGAGCCAAGCATTCAGTAGAGAGGTCTCCTAACTGCAGTAAAAAGTGGTGCCAAGAGTTTGAATGAGTGTGTGTGTGTGCGTGCTTGGATTGTCTCAGGTCATTCAGCAAACTAATGCTTCTTCTTTGCTGTCCATCATCGATCATTGTAGGTACGCATCGATGTCCATGGCGCAAGATTGATTGCACGCGTTGACAACAGTCAAGAGGAAGTTTACCTGAAGGGTTTGAACCACGACACCAACTATGGAGTGTCGACGAATCTGCCGTCTGTGGTGCTGGTCGGAGGTGAGTATTTAGCGTTTTGATACATCATTTTTTAGCTACAATAGACCATAATTGTTATTTCATACATATGTACATAGCTATATCGATATAGCGCAGAAGAGAGCTATGCAAAATTGTAAATAACCAGTATAGAAATATTGTTTATTGTCCGAACGAATCAGAGCTATTCTGACAAAAGTAGCTGTACGTCATAAAAAAATTTGAACTCGTAGTCAAATTAAGAACACCTTAAAAATCCCACAGAACTTTTTTCTTCATATTTATTGAGTAGTGTCATTTTTAATGCATTATTTGCAACTCTGAGATTAGAATTAAGAGTGCATCCTACCCGCAACACGAGATATTCTTAGCCCTGTTGAGAATATAACTATTTCTTCATTAGCTTTATAGTATTAGCTCAGAGTATTTTTTTCGTTAAAGCATAGTTTTATATAAAAATATATTTTAGGTGTCAGCTATGTCATTCAACTATTACGTCTACCCTTTATTACATACGACTTGCAAATGTTTGTTCTCGTTCGTCGGCAATCGTTCCGTCTCTTCATGGTTGCATTCAGTAGGCCTGTCCAGATCGTGTTGTCCGCAATTCTCCTTCAATCTGCTGTCCAGACCTGTCGTATTCTTTTATGGCTTCCATTTTGAATTAAAAGTTCCCCTATTCACTTTCTGGTTCTTGGATGTATTCTCTGCAGGATTTTTATACTCTCGCAACAAAGTTGCTAAAGAGAGCATTATAGTTTTATTCACATAACGGTTGTTTGTAAGTCCTAAAACTAAAAGAGTCAGATATAGGGTTATATATACCAAAGTGATCAGGGTGATGAGTAGAGTTGAAAACCGGATGTCTGTCTGTCCGTCTGTCCGTCCGTCTGTCCGTCCCTGCAAGCTGTAACTTGAGTAAAAATTGAGATATCATGATGAAACTTGGTACACATATTTCTTGGCTCCATAAGAAGGTTAAGTTCGAAGATGGGCAAAATCGACCCACTGCCACGCCTACAAAATGGCGGAAACCGAAAACCTATAAAGTGACATAACTAAGCCATAAATAAAGATAAAGATTTTGAAATTTGGCACAAAGGATCGCATTAGGGAGGGGCAGATTTGGACGTAATTTTTTTGGAAAAGTGGGCGTGGCCCCGCCCCTACTGAGTTTTTTATACATATCTCGGAAACTGCTATAGCTATGTCAACCAAACTCTACAGGGTTGTTTCATTCAGGTATTTCCATATACAATTCAGAAATGGAAGAAATAGGATAATAACCACGCCCACCTCCCATACAAAGGTTATGTTGAAAATCACTAAAAGTGCGTTAAGAGTCCATTAAATTTTACGGAAGAAATATCAGAAAGAAGCATCACCCAGGCTTTCTTTAAAAATTGAAAACGGGCGTGGCGTCGCCCACTTATGGACCAAAAACCATATCTCAGAAAGTACTCAACTTATACCAATACCAAAATTTCGAACCGTTGATTTCTCTAGTATATTTTACCCTTTTATTACATTTTGTTTATGTTCTCCTTCAATGAAGTTAGAAAAATTTTAGCACCTGAGCTATTTCCAGTCTACTTACTCGAGAAGAATCTAGGAGGGTCCATACATATAGCATGTAATAGGTTGTGAGTTCATATCATGCATTTAACGGTTGCGATGGGTTCTTCTATTTACCACAACATAATGCTCTTGTTGGTAGCAAAAAATTTACAATAGTGTTGGTATTGCTGGGGTTTCACTTTATCGCTGTAGTGCAATTTAATATTTGCATGCCGAACTCACGCCAATTTATTTACACTTACACACACTTTATATACACGTACATATACACTCACAAACACACGCTTTCATGTGTTTCAAACTCACTGAATTGTACAACAATTTATTTATAAAAATTTTTTTTACTCTTACATGTTAATTAATCTTCATTATGGACATGGAAAACGCAACCGCAACGATAAAAACAAAAACAACAACAACAACTATGTATATGCAATCAACTTTAAACGCAAAACAACGTTGGATCAAAATGGCCAAAACTTTGTAAAACACCAACACCAACAACAAAAACCAATGCCGTAACCACAACTAACCAAACACAAAAACGTAATAACCTGCTGCGTTCTTTCTCTCAACACCGGCTATGTGTGGTGCTCGCTGGCGTATACGTAACACACACACACACACTGCACCGCAGGTCTTTCATCGGAGGAGAAACTGCATGGCGTCAAGTATATCATTGAATCATTTGTGGGCTGCATCCGGAATGTTGTGCTGAGTTCGGGTAAGGCAGCATCCGATTTGCTGCCCATCGCCCCGCTTGTGGCCACCAAGCACGAGAACGTCAATGAGGGCTGCTCCGACAAATGCAATTCCAGACACAATTTGTGTTTTGTGGGCTCCCGTTGTATTAATCACTATTATGACATTTCATGCGATTGCTTTGGCACCCCATACGAAGGCGAACACTGCGACATTTACAGTAAGTATCTAAATATTAGTTAGAACGTTACAGTTAGTAATAAAAACCGCTCAAAAACCATGAAAACAAATCACAACAAGGAGTTTGTTAAATGAAAATGGTTTATATGAGTAACTGCGGTAGATGCACCATTTATATGGGCGAACCCACTAGGAAATTACTAACACCATATATGTCTGGTAATTTTAATGTATGTAGTAAAAGTTTTTTTATAGAATTAAATGCAATATTTCGCATAATTTTTACGTTAGTTCTGCCAGAAGTGGTTAGAAACTTTAGTTGGAATTAGAATTTTCAAACATAAATTTAAATGTTGCTTGTAGCAAATATGCCGTTTTAAGGAGTTTATGGTCGCCTTAAATCCATTTTATCTTAATATGCATCAAATCCTGTTTTATACTTACTATTCTGTTTTTTTTTTGTTTTTTTGTTTTTTGCTTTGCTTCTAATATTTTCTTAAACATTTCAATTTAATAGCTATTTTGTAATATTTGCTATATTTCAATTTTTTCTATAGGCGACAACTATACAATGTATATATGCATATTTTTTCAAGAAATCTTTCCGTAAAAATAGTTCTCAGAGCCAACTAATCAAAAAAAATCCTTAATAATTTCCTAGTAGTTCTAAATTGGTCCCAAAAAATACAAATGATTCTTAAAAGGTCCCGAAAAAATTACCAACGAGAGTCGAACGAGTCAAGCAATGGAAAACCAAAATCATGTCATGCCTCGAACAGGGAGACCCAGAGACATACTTACATTCTGACAAACGAGCACCCGCAAATTGTAATTAAATTCGCCGGCTAAATGATATAGCTAAAAAATATATAGAAAATAAAGCCAAACAGTTTGTTTACAGCAGCTGCGAAAGTCGGTACAGCTCAGTAGTGCGTTGGGATTTAACAATGGATAGAAATATTAAACAAAGAATTTGTCTTTAATTTTGTATTTCCAACCACATTTCGTGGCGAAATCCTTGCGAATGTTAGAAAAGACTCACGCTGATTCAGTTTTATCAGAAATGCAAGCCTACGAGTGGTACAAAGCCCAGATATTAAAAAAATTAAGTATATGCTTCTCGAAATTCGTCAGGCCAGTGTTAGAGAAATGGCCAGACAGAGTAAAATAACTGCCGATGAGACATGAGTTTATGAGCTCGACTTCTAAAAAAAATCAACAATTACACTAGTTTACAGCAAAAATGTTCCATGAACGCCACTATACAATTTGTATGTGGAATCGCTCGCTGATTCCGAAAATCGAATAATTTTAATAATAAAAGTGAATGAAATTTCCTAAAAATATTGTCTACTCCATTTTCCATAGGCCTTATAATTTCTGAGAAATTGATTAATCATTTCGTATACATTGACCTTGCGCGACTTGGATATATTTATTTGATCATGTACAACTTTAATATTTATCCATGGGTTTTGTTCGCTGGCAGCTTAGTTATTTATAAAGAAACAGGACTTCATATAAAATTAAAAAAAATTAAAAAATATCTATTGTTTTAAAATTTTTTCCAATCCAAAGTTTATTTTTTTTTTTTTTAATTTTTTCATAACAAAATTTAAAACCACGAAGTGATTAATCAAATTCTCAGAAATTATAAGGCCTATGGAAAAATGGAGTAGACAATATTTTTAGGAAATTTTATTCACTTTTATTTTCTATAATTTGCAGTAAGATTGCTCAACTGGTCAGTGAGATATACATGATTAAATGAAGAAAGCTTTTTTTTTTTTKKTYKAATAACGGTAAATTGCAAATATCTCAAAAACGTATCCATAAAAAAAAATTTACTCGACAGCGAGCCATTTCACATATAAATTGGATAGTGGCATCCGTGGAACAAAAAACAAATTCATATTTGTGATCCAGTGTTATCAGAACGGAGGGCAAAAACACGAAACGAAACCAAAAAACGTCACCGACGAATACTCATTACTATTCGATATTCGTGGCTTAGTGCGTCATGAATTTGTTCCGGAGGGACGGACGGTCAATACCGTGTTCTATTTGGCCGTATTGAATGGTTGAATAGCATTTCGTGCATTGAATGCCATCGATCAGCCACCGTATTCACCAGATTTGACTCCGCATGACTTTTCATGTGGCTGATGACTAAATGTCAACCCAAAAAGTGCTTATGAAAAGTGTTTCGAGGACTAGAAAAATCGTTGTCATACGTGTATTATATTTGGTGATAGTTACTTTGAATGAGAACTCTTTTATTTGATATAATATCTTCATGAAATGTTACATGAATTATTGCTCCACACAAGCTATAACATCTAGAGAAATTTTTCAGGTGGCGTCATTACAGCATATAGCTGTCATACAAACTGAACAGTCAAAATAAATTTTTTATATGAAAAACTTTTTCATCTGACAAGATATCTTCACGAAATTTGGCATATAGTATTTTCTGAGGCAATGATACAATCTTTGAGGAAATCTTTCAGAGCGGACCTTCTTCTTTACTGGCGTACACACTACTTAGGTCGTTTCTTCTGTTCGCAACGACTTCTTCTTATGACTGTCAACAGTGACGTGGGAGCCTAGTCGCGAGAGCGACGATTGTTTGTTTGAGATCAGGAGATATTTTGTCTTGCCCTCGTTCACTGCCAGACCCATTTGCTTTGCTTCCTTGTCAAGTTTGAAGAAAGCAAAACTAACGGTCCTTTAGGTTGCCTGCACTTGATGCGAATTTCAACAGATTATGTGGCCTCACGATCGATAGGGTTGTGTTTAGTATCGCGCCGGTTAATTTTGGCTCACCGTACCTAAATGAGAAAACCAAATGGAAAATTTTAAACACGCATGTATGCTTAAATTATCGAACTTTGCGATCGATACACTATCCAGTGCATCATTCCGTGGGGACAGGTGCACAAAAGGAAATTGATAAATGTAAAGCATTTATGTACATTTGGAGTTCAGTAATATCCGAATGGTAAAGTTGATGGATTCACCCGTATATGAACGGTTTATCTGCCATGTAAATAGCTCAATTCTCAAATTTTTTACTCAATCTTTTTGGCAAAATTGTAGTCTTTTAAAATTGTTGAACTCTGGCAAACAAAAATGAAGGAATATTTCGAAAATTGTCAATTATAACAAGTGTCATTAAACATTTTGAAAAAATTCAGTTAATGGATCAAATTAAAAACAAACAAATCAGCTCACACAACAAAAATAAGCAACGACTTACATTTAATCAAAATACATCAACGCCAAAAACAATATGATTGTGACACTTTGATTTCGAAATATTTATGTGCCTTCATCCCTGTTTCGTTCAATTGTTTCGCGGAATTGATATATTTGAAGTCAAATTTTGTCGTGTCTCAAACCAAACCAAGGCTCACTTGAAAATCATCACCATTCATCAACGCAGTCAGATATCATAAATCCTCATATATGCACAAAATGGGTAAACGACAGCGCAGCCTCTTTCGCGGTTCTTTTACGCAAAAACTCATGTACAAGCAACACAAGGAAGCGCTCAGTAAAATTTCCAGCGCCGTCGATATTGGTCCACCTCACATCAAAAAGGATGTCTACCTAAATATGAGAGGCATGCGTGACGACAAGTACGCTTTAAAGCGTATCATTAAAGAAAATATAGAGCTGCTGGAGAGACTCAATCAAATACGACGTACGCACGGCTTGAGCAATAGCTACAACACGCACAAGCGTATTTCACAAACCAAGCTGCATCATTTCTTGCGTCGCATTGATGATATTGAAACGGAGAATCAGTTTCTGGGCTGCCGCCTCTTGCGTGTCAAGCCGATGCTATCGAAGTCTGGCATACCAATTTCGGCACGCAGCAGCAGCCGTTTGAAGTTTGAGCGGTCGCATGTTAGTCTAAAAATTCGTGAGAAATTGCTCATGGACCAATTGCTGCATCCAAAAGTTTTCTTAGACTTGGAAGTGAAAGACATCCGGCCATTAGGACGCATTGTCATACAACTCTACACAGAAGCTTGCCCCGAAATGGTATTGGAGTTTGCACGCACATGCTCCGAAAAAAAGTCAGACTTATTCAAATTTATACGTATTTTTCCCGGTTTGTGGCTCGAGGGAGAGATCACTGTCAAAAATCGCGTTTTGAGCAAATCAAATTTCCAGCATGAAATGAACATGATAAGACACGACTCCGGTTCCTGCATACTTTCGTTTGCCAAATGTTATCTAACTAATGGCTTTCCATATGGATTGCTCAATTTTACGATTAGCTTTAAACCCATGCCTGTCCTCAATGGCGAGCGTGTAGCCTTCGGTGAGTTAATTGCTGGCCATCGAGTATTGGAATGCGCGCAGGACTATGGCACAAAAAATGGCAAAGTCAGAAAGGAGATTATTGTCGTAAACAGCGGTCTCAAAGCTTATATTGACGTCTGAAATATAATTCAAATTAATAATTTGAAAATTTAATACAATTTGTAAACAAAAAAACTTCTCATTGTCTCTGCTGTCCCCCAACCCTTATCTTTGTGGTTTTTATATACATTTAAAACAAAGAAATAAAAAGCAAAAAAATTGAAGACTTTTCGATCAAACTCTCAAGAGATTTAAATTTAGAGAGATTAAACGATAGTACAGGTTAAGGGCATTCGTGGGTTTTTAATGCGCTCAACTTTATCCATGTCGCTCTTGAGCTCAAACAGTTCGTCGTTCGTTCCGCTTCGCCACACATCGTTTGCACGAACGGCTTTGAACACCTTGCAAAAAAGAGTTCTCTCGAATGCTTTTTGATCTCGGTTCGTTATCAACCATGTTTCCGACGGAAACCACAAGACACTTATAGAGCATAATTTTTTGTTTTTCGGGAGAGGAATCTGCTGCTCAATTTCCTACCGATTCCAAAATAGCAGCCATAGACCAGAGTTATTTTGCATTTGATCTGCAAGCTTAGCTTTTTGGCGATACTTATGCCGGTCCTAAAATAGAAAAAGTCGTTCAAATTCTTAGCTGCCAACAAGGCCGGATAAAATCCGGATCAACTCCCATAACGTAGAACCGGCTATTGTGGGAATTGCGGAGCTTCGTTCTAGATACTTCAGCAGGTTAAACACCTAGTTATCTAGACCAGACCCACACCAACAGTACGTTTCCTGAGTCTACCGTTGGCTGACATCGATGACCGCTTATCTAATTCTCACCATCCGGGAATTGGTATCTGTTATAACATCAACAACAACAACGTAGCTCACAAGTCGCGAGGAATATTTTTATGTGGAGTTCTGGTACTTTCTCTTGACCAAACTCTTTCGCTTCTTTTTCTACGTTAAGGTTTACGATGTCAATAACATGTGCGTACCTTGTCCTCTTATACTAGATAGTGCTATTGCGGTGTATCTGTTATTGAAGAAAGTGCCCGAAAGATATCGAAAGTCTTAGGAGAGGTGTTTTGGCGGATCTGTTGGTTGTGCTCAACGTCATTCTATATTAAATGAGTTTTGCAGGGATACCAAATGTAGACATGGCGTTGAACATGGAACTCTTGTCAATGCTCATAAAAAGTTGATGGCTGTTGAGCTGTTAAATCTAATTTTTTTTAAGATAGCCTCCAAATATGATACAATTACTAGCACATACAATTTGAATCATTCACCACTTACCTTTATAATCATTTAACTAAATTTTATTCATTTTTATATTTCCTCCACCAACACAGCGGCAACGATAATGACTCTACGTGGCTCTAGCTATGTCTCGTATCGCATTTACGACTGGAAGGATCGAGTGCACTCTTCGAACACCCGCATTAGCCTCATGTTTCGCACACAGTTCGACGATTCAGCGCTTTTCTATGCCAGCGGCGAATCACTGAAACATCAATACATCGCCGCCTCAATAAAAAATCAATCAATTCATGTGGAAATGGATTTCGGTGATAACGTGCTGTCGACAGTGCTCACTGATGAGTTGACACGTAGTAATTGGCATAATTTAACCATTCACCATGAGCGACGCACAGTGCGTATCATACTTGATCAGCAAATGAAAGTGCTCGATATACCGGCGACATCAAGCGCCAATCTGCTATTCGATCCCGAAATTTACTTCGGCGGCGGCCCCGATTTACACAAGAAGAAGGGCTTACTATCACAGAACAATTTCGTTGGCAGCCTTAAATATGTCTACTATAATGATGTATCGATTTTATATGAACTACAAAAGAGTAATCCAAAAGTGCACTATCACGGTAAGTGAATAGCAACAGTGCTTTTAAAATAAATTATTGTTTATAACGCGAGAATTCAGTTTTTTATACTCTCGCAACAAAGTTGCTAAAGAGAGTATTATAGTTTTGTTCACATAACGGTTGTTTGTAAGTCGTAAAACTAAAAGAGTTAGATATAGGGTTATATATACCAAAGTGATCAGGGTGACGAGTAGAGTTGAAATCCGGATGTCTGTCCGTCCGTCCGTGCAAGCTGTAACTTGTCCCTGCAAGCTGTAACTTGAGTAAAAATTGAGATATCATGATGAAACTTGGTACACATATTTCTTGGCTCCATAAGAAGGTTAAGTTCGAAGATGGGCAAAATCGACCCACTGCCGACCATGGCGAAAACCGAAAACCTATAAAGTGTCATAACTAAGCCATAAATAAAGATATTAAAATGAAATCTGGCACAAAGGATCGCACTAGGGAGGAGGGGTGACACCCGAACTTAGCCCTTCCTTACTTGTTTTCGAATATTTTAGAACCAGTTTATTGTGGTTTCACATTACTTGTGAATGATACAGTAGTCGTGAATACGAAATTTACTCTTACGTTATGCCAATTCATATGAATTCATGTCATTCACTCACCTGCTTTCCCACCATGGAGTTCGAGTTTAATTAGTCGACGTTAGACATCCATTACAGTTGCTGGTTTTCACTGAACTTTGTTGAATATATAAAGTTCATACAGTCGATTATTTCATTTTAGAATTTTCATTCTGTTTTGTATTATTTTCAAAAGATCGTCCAAAGTTCAAGACTTAGATACTTTAGTATACCATGGAAAGTGTTAAAATAAAAAGCGAAAGTGTGCAGAGTATAAAAAACTGCATTTGATTGGTTGAAACTTACTTCAATCTCTAAAAGATGTGAGGGCAAATTATCTAAGAAAAATTGTAAGCTCATCTACTTCTCCAGCTTTTGAATTCCACGATTATATTTATGAAATTCGAAATATTATCATTGCGAACGTAAAAATGGTGTGGACTTAAGATTCTTCATCTGTACGATACTATCACTGACATCTGCATAAATTGTATACATAAAAAGTATATAAATTTCATCGCAGTCGTTGAATTTGTACAAGTTCTGTTTCAATCGTATCTTCGATACTTCTTCCGCATTAAGTACTGCAGTCTTTAAAGATAAGACTATACTAACTCTTTCTGTGAGGTGGATACCATATCGGAAATCAATGAAAACTATCCAATATAAACTAGACAACGCTTATTACTCAACGAAAGGGTCAAAAGATTATAATCATATTTGGTATATCATACACTTATATTTTAGGTCGTATGCTCATTTGACCGCCTGACTATATTTTGCTTCATAATGAGATATACGTGATAAAATTACATTGGAATATCACATATATTCACCAACATTAACAGATTAAAGTCAGTCGGCTTATTTGAATGGCAGTGGTAGGCAATCCATCGGCAACGCCGCTTTTTTGTTCCTCAGTCGGGTAATTGCTATTCGCACTTCTTCGTTGTCGGACAATGAAATGTCTGCTCCATCGTCATTAATTGAGGAATCGGGTTCCCCACCTCCTGATGTTATGCTTTCACTGCCATTCAGTAGGCTGAAAAAGTGTTCCGTTCATAACTCCAGTATGCTCTCAGCATCGGCCACTAGATCACTTCTGGGGGTTCTACATGAGTATGGTTTAGAAGCTTTCTGTTAGTAGCCACATTTTTTCGTAGAATTTGTGAGCATTACCTCTGTCACCCAACTTGTCAAGTTCTTCGTACTTAGACACTTCGGTCTCTCCAACACAGAACAGAAAATCGTTCGGCTGACTGTTGTGATTGCAGCTCCTCGATGTCAAACTTTCAGTATCAACCCAATTCGGGATGTTTCCTCGTGGAGGCTAAATTTACAGACCGTTGTGCCAAAGTTACCTTCTTTGCTCCATTGGCGGGACAGCGCTCATATCTCTTTACTCTCACTAGGAGTACTCAACTCAACCAGAGAGTTTTCCTCACTTGCGTGAACTTCTGCACATGACCCCATCCCCCTCTCCATACCACTACTAGGAAAAATGCGTTTTGAGTTTCATTTAGATACCTTACATATGGACCAATATATACTTTGCACTTTGACTTTCTTGCAAACTTAAAACGGGCACGTAGAAAGTGGGTCATATTTGCTCACTCTCTATTTCTATCTCTTTCCGATCTAACCATACTCAACACAAAGAACACTTAGATTTATTTATGTGTATTATCTGAGCACCATGTTGCATTTGATTATCTACAACGGAACGCACAGATCAATCATAAAACGTGCTTATTTCACATGCGCTTGTCGGCCGCCTCGCATAAATCATACTTTAATTGCGCACATATGCACGCTAAAACGAAAATTGCTCGATGAAAAGTCTAATATACAATTTCCTATGCGCATATTCAGTAGTATATAACTGTGTACGTAGTCAGACAGTGATATATTTGTGAAATTGCCAATGACTATTGCTATTTTCTAGGTGTCCTCGAGGCCGAATTCCTAGAGAACGAAGTCAACGTCATACCCATTACGTATCCCTTCGCAACATCTCACATTTGGTGGCCCATAAATCACGCCGAAGAATTTAATATTAAATTCGATTTCCGGAGTAGTCGTACAGCAGCCGTATTGGCATATAGTGATGTGACAACAGCATCCGGAAATGGATTTTGGGAGGTAAGTGTCAGTGCATCTATACTTTCGTACAAGTATGTGTGGGCGTGTGCGCATGAGACAGCAACGAGAACATTTCAACATTATACATATGAGTTCTAAGAGCGTTTAGTGTGCGTGCATATGTTAATGTATATGTATATGTGTGTGTGTCTGTGGGAGTGAGGCTGCATGTGGGCGCTGACTTTTTGAGCAGTGCAGTTACAGCAGCCAACAACAAAATTTGTTAACGTTCGTTAATATGAATTCTTAAAAGCTACATGCATGAGCATACATATAAAGCGGTGTAGTGGGGCTTGGGCGCATAATGCCGTGCGTGTTCATGAATTTGGCTTGCGTTGCTCGGATAAGCGCCGGAGCGTCAGTGACAATTGCAGTTCACAGCAGTTTTTGCATTACATCCAACGCTTTGCTGTTGTCGTTGTTGTTGTTGCCTAGCTTAATAATGCCGCTGTCAACTGCAAGACGAAATTGCTATGCTGTCGATATTGCGGAGAGAAATCGTCGAGGCGTTTGCAATGTGCCAGCGCCATCCCTTTGAAATATTACAGGAATTCCATTCATTGCTCGCACGCATACTTCATCGGCTGCAGTAATCGAAAAATTACAGCAATAAAAATGGAGCGAAATGAGTGAGCATTTTTGACTTGGCGCAGAGCTTTAGTGTGATTTTTATCCAAATTAAATGGGTTAAATCAAATTGTAGGCAATAAGGCGAAGGACACATTTGACAACTTAGTAAAGCTGCGCAATAATTCCATCCCGTCAAGAAAGCTAATAACATATCATAAATTAAATACATTCGAATATACCAAAAGACCGTTCCCACGACAGTCGGGCCTGAGTAACCGGAATGGGCATGAAATTGTATCCATTCAAGAATTGTCAACTCGCACCATTCCTCGAAATTACTTCAAGAGGTATTACCACTTGATGATCACCACCACGCAAATCTTCGACTTAATAGCGCCTGTGACAGTTATTCTCTCCTGCAAGTAGTCTAATAGTCATTATCTTTCGGGTCAATAGCAGAGTCTTCGCCTCTTTGGAACATTTTCGCCTGCTGAAATATTCTGTTCCGACAATTCCTTAGAGTTGGGTGTACACCAGTAGCACCACGTTTCGTCTTTAATTCAGAAATGACGCCGAAAGTCCTACAATGACCATTTTCACGGCACCCAACCTGTCTCAATAAAAACCGACCCTATGAGAAGAAATTATTTCGAACTCACCGACTCGTTAAGTAATCTCGCAAGTAATACGATTCACTACCAAAACTAATGAGAATGCATTCATTTTGAAAATAATTTTTGGTAATCTCTCCTCCCACTTTCGAAGTAAAGTCTGTCGAACAATGCTACAGAGGAAATAACACCGTTCTACAAACTGTATTTTCTTCTTTTCACTATTTGGTGCCAATTTGAGAAACCAAGTGCAGCTAAATCCCTCTCGACCTGATCTCTTCAACGAAGTGGAGGTCTTCCTTTTCTTCGGCTTCCACCGATGGGTTCTGAAACGAAAACTTTCACAGCTGGAGTTGTCTCTTCCATCCGGGCAACATAACCTAGGCAGCGTAGCCGGTATCTCTTGATTTGCTGAACTAAGTCAATGTCGCGTAAATCGCGTACGGTAACTCGCCGTTCCATGCTTCGAACCTTCCTCTCGAAAACTCGTAACGCCGTCCATACCTATGCACTATATAGCAGGACGGGAAGGGTGCGGGACTTGTAGAGTATTCCTTGTGAGAGGACTTTAATTCTCAATTGCCTATTCAGTACCAAGAAGCACCTCTTGGTAAGAGTAATTCTGCGTTGGATTTCGAGCCTGGCGTAGTTTTTCGCGTTACTGCTGGTTCCAAGATAGACGAAATTATCTACTACTTCGAAGTTATGACTGTCGACTGTTACGTGGGAGCCAAGTCGGGAGCGACGATTGTTTGTTTGATGACAGAAGATATTTCGCCTTGCCCTCGGTCACTACCAGACGCATTTGCTTCGCTGCCGTATCCATTCTGGAGAAAGCTGAACTAATAGCGCAGATGTTGAGGCCAAAGATATTAATAACATCCTCGTACGCCAGCAGCTGTAGACTCTTATAGAAAATGGTGCCTTCTCTATTTACCTCTGCAGTTCGTATTATTTTATTCAGCAATATATTAAAGATGTCACTCTTGATATCTCGGAGAGGTTTTTTCTAATCCTAAGGGAGCTTTTGGATCTCCACCCACCACCAATTAAATTCTAATAAATTTAACATAGAAGTATATTTCAGCTAGGAATCCTTTTTCCATTTCGGCAGGCTATTAGTGGTAGCGCTCAACTATTGAATGCTTAGCACTCGCTTTATATACAAAATATTACGTTTGATTGCCTTTTATTTTTCTGTCAAACGTTTTGCTATTTATTTCAGTTGTTCGGCTTCAGATCAAATATTTTGTAAGTAAATATAAACCGTTTACGTTTTATAAAAGCAATTTCAAATGCTATAATATTTAGCGAATTGTAATAAATATTTTCGAATAATATATGTATGAGAAATCGTATTTATATTTATGTAAATTTAGTTTTAGTAGTTATATAAACTGAACAATAATAATCAAGTATTTTTAAGAAAAAAATTTTGTGTTGGTGAATTAGGCCATTAAAAAGTTTATCATACAAGAGCTTTATTTTGATCGATTTTCTTGGATAATGCTCCATACCTAATTTTGTGAAGGTAATATCTGAAATAAAAAAATGTAAGCCCTTGTGGCATGATTTTTATACTCTCGTAACAAAGTTGCTAAAGAGAGTATTATAGTTTTCTTCACATAACGGTTGTTTGTAAGTCCTAAAACTAAAAGAGTCAGATATAAGGTTATATATACCAAAGTGATCAGCAAGCTGTAACTTGAGTAAAAATTTAGATATCATGATGAAACTTGATACACGTATTTCCTGGCTCCACAAGAAGGTTAAGTTCGTAGATGGGCAAAATCATCCCACTGCCACGCCCACAAAATGGCAGAAACCGAAAACCTATAAAGTGTCATGACTAAGCCATAAATAAAAATATTAAAACGAAATTTGGCACAAAGGATCGCATTAGGGCCAAATTTTTTTGGAAAAGTGGGCGTGGCCCCGTCCCCCACTAAGTTTTTTGTACATATCTCGAAAACTACTATAGTTATGTCAACCAAACTCTATACAGTCGTTTTCTTCAGGCATTTCCATATAGAGTTCAAAAAAACAAATCGGATAATAACCACGCCCACCTCCCATACAAAGGTAATGTTGAAAATCACTAAAAGTGCGTTAACGGACTAACAAAAAACGTTAGAAACACTAAATTTTACGGAAGAAATGTTAGAAGGAAGCTGCATCCAGGCTTTTTTTAAAAATTGAAAGTGGACGTGGCGTCGCCCACTTATGGACCAAAAACCATACCTCAGGAACTACTCAACCGATTTCAATGAAATTCGGTATATAATGTTCTCTTAACACCCTGATGATATGTACCGAATATGGGTGAAATCGGTTCACAACCACGCCTGAAATCTCGATTATCACTTTATCATGCGAGAGTATAAAATGTTCGGTGACACCCGAACTTAGCCCTTCCTTACTTGTTAATGATCTGTTTGTTGATAGGTAAGTAGGTCGAGTGGATATCTCACTACATGTGAAACCACCGCTACGAATCTATTTTGTCCTCTTTGAACCTCCTGTTAAAGTTTCTTGGTGTCTACTCATAAATAGTTCCTGTTCTGGATTCAAGTGTTACAACAACAGTTACAACAACAGTTACAAAGGTAAACCAATATATGTGGAACCCATTGCAGGTTTATCCTGGGTCCAACATCCACAAAGAAATCAAGTCATTATGTCGCTATATTTCATAAAATCCTGGTGATTGCAAAGTCGCTTGAGTATCTGTATGTATACAAGTATATCTTTTGTTGTCGGTTCTTTAACTGACACCAACTCACACCCGATTTTCTAATTTAAACACAACCGTATGGATGCTTAGTCCTGTGTCGGTGTTCACCTCTCCTCTTTTCTCTATAAGAGTAGGCAAAATTGGGAATCGAATTAAAGTTCATGTCTATAATATTTCGAAAATTAAAAGTATACATCTTAGAATGCCCTTTGTTACAGTTGACTAATAGGGAGGATTCCGTCAATCTAAAAGTTTCTGGGGGCTGTAACTGTAAAATTACGTTCAGGGCCTAATTTGGCGTTGTTGAACACCACTGAGGGATATACTAGCAGCTCTTGTATGCTTTCCATAGGTCTTACCACGGATTTGTTTTTCGTACAACTGCTGAGTAGAACCAATGAGTTAGGCGAGGCGTTAGTCTCCATTTGGGACGCACATTTTACAAGTGTAAAGTGGTGTAGTTTTTCCTTTACCCTAGCGTATAAAATTGTTTACCATGAAAGCTTCCTATCTAAAATTAATTCCAAGTAGATTACTTTCCCTTCTATCGTTAGCCTTGTGCCACTTATTAGAAATCTGTGTTTCCTAGTTAACAATACATGCTCTGTCTTGCTAGCAGTCCGCACAGTACGGCCCATAGAGTTATGTCGTTGATTATTGTTTGCATAAGATTGGCGAAGGTATTTGAGAAAACTCAAACGCTAACCGAAATCGTCACATCTTCCTTTCTACATCTAACAGCATTTTATTTATTGTTAAGATCCAGCGAAGTATAGATAACACGCTTCTTTCTGGTGTGAAAAGCAGATCTGCACATCGTTGATACTCCCAGTGTTGATATTATATTATTGACCTGCCCATGACAAGCTGTTCCATTAATGTTTCTCATAGCCATATGCTATAGTGGCCCGGTTCTAATAAATATGCAGCTTCTTTACGAAGAAAGAACTCTTTCTAAATTTCAGATCGCTATCTCAAAAATGGAACTGGACATGGTTTGGTTGTTACAAAATTACTATAATATATAATTAATATAAAGATGTTATTCTTCACTAAGCTTATGTTTTGTATTATTTTAATACGCA